TAAAATTACTATGAACTTTGCAGCTTTGATGTTTTTCGATCTACATATTAACTTAAAAATAAATTTTATGATCATATGGGCTTGGTGCTATAGAAAAGAGAGAAAATGACAATTTACCAAAAAATATTTTTTTTAGCATAACTAATGCAAAATTACCTGAGGAATCATTTTGTCTTATTAAAGTAATATGATTATCTTAATAAAATTTTGAAATAATAATAAAACAATGTAAAACCATGTTTTGATCGGATAAATCGTTGTGTAACATTCCGATGTAGATCGGATAAAATTTTCAGAATTTGTCGTGTCATGTGGAATTTGGATGATCCTAATCTTAACCAATCAGATTCATTAATTTTAGCTCGTATTTCTTGATAACTATTCTTTATTGTATTCTTGACTAGCTTGTCACATTTTTCGAATATTTGCAATATTTATTAGCGTAGCAAAAGTCAATACACTTTCGGGGGTATAGGTAATAGTTATTTCACGCTTTATCATAGATGTAATTAAACATCACAGATCAATCGGCGTAGCCGCAATGGCATGGTATTAAGATTGATTCTAACACCCATGACTTTATAATTTTATTTTCCACAGAATTTTTCACAGCTTTTCTTCATGGCAAATAAAATTTCTTTCTTTTGAAGATTCTTTCCTTGTTTCATTCTTTATACAGACAACTTATCAAATTTCCTAAAACAATCTAAAAACAGAAAAAGGGTTAGAGGTCGTTCTTTGATAAGGGCTGATTACAGATAATAATCTTTTTAAATATTAGCATGTTTTTTTTGTTAGTTTGTCTTAATATGCGTGCTATTTTACTTTAGTACACGGCTCCTAATTGTTCACCCATGACTTGTTTACAGTTGATATTTCACGGTCGATATGTTCACAGCGGATTTTAATGCATCGCAAAAACCTTTAAGGTTGTATATCTAGTCGGTAACTGGAATACTTTATATTGTCGATCTGGAAATTGACTTGAAATACTTTATACAAAATTGGACGATTCAAGTTTATAACTTGTCGAAAGTGGATAAAGGTTTATTATTACGTATTGCTCAATCAGATGACTTTATTGAAACAGAGATAAAAAACATAAAGTAATTGTTAATGCATCGCAAGCCTTTAAGGTTGTATATCTGGTTGGTAACTGGGATTGTTGATCTGGAAATTATACAAAATGTGACAATTCAAGTTTATAACTTGTCGAAAGTGAATAAGGGTTTATTATTACGTATTGCTCAATCAAATGACTTCATTGAAACAGAGATGAAAAACATAAAGTAATTGTTAATGCATCGCAAACCTTTAAGGTTGTATATCTGGTTGGTAACTGGGATACTTTATATTGTCGATCTGGAAATTATACAAAATGGGACGATTCAAGTTTATGACTTGTTGAAAGTGGATAAGGGTTTATTATTACGTATTGCTCAATTAGATGACTTTATTAAAACAGAGATGAACAACATATGGGAATTCTGTTCGCTATCGTTACAGGATTTACTCAAACCAACTAAGCAATGTCTATAATCCTAATAACTTATTATTGGATAGAACATATTCCACCTAAATCCACCAAGATCTTTCTACAGCCAGCTATGAACTAACCATTATAACTACACAATGAAATCTTCGCCCAATAAAGCCTACATAGCTGTGAAGAGCATACTAAGGCAATGCAGGGGTCCTTGCGCTGATATAGCCATAGAGCCCCAGTACTGCAGTACTGTAATAGTGAAAAAGGTCCTTGCACTGCAGTTGCAGCCGTGGAGTCTCAGCACTAAAACTGGGTCTTTGCACTGCAATTACAGTCGCCAAGCCCGAAATAACTTATGATATTGGGGAGAAAGGGTGGGACGAAAGAGCCAGCCTTCTACAAGGCAAGCGATAGCGAAGATACAGCAGAGACCATTAATGTTACACATATATTAAAACTGGTGAGAGATTATATCCATCGCAATTGAATCCAACATAAATAATTTAATTTGTGATTGATCACAGGCGAGAGGGATTCACTTTGGATCGGGTACTGTCTCTGCTGTATAGCGGAGAAAAATAATCATCCTTAACCAAAAACAATGATTAAATACCTCCTCAAACCATAATACGCTCCCCTTTCGCCCCCTATCATCATATACAAGCCAAATGGCTTCCCCTTAATTTTGTTACCTGTTCGCTAAAACTTATATCCGAATAATTTATCCAAATATTTATCAGATTATCCGGATATCAATAGCAAACAGATATCCAGATAAATTCAGATATGGATAAATGGACGACGGATTTATCTGGATTGAAACTCTAAATCAAATAAATCATATGTAATCACAATGCAAAATCACGAAATACTGGTACCCAACAAGATATCTGCAATTTATTTCAATCCATAAAGGCTAAACAACTAAAAACATGGGATCTATAAAGTCATCTGATTTCGCAATAATGATCGCTTCGTCATTTTGTTGACAATAATGTTAATGATAGGGTTTAAAGTTTTGCAAAAAAAATGACACATACGTTAGTTTCGTCAATTTTTTTAGAAACACATTCGGAAATTGGTTCATTAACAGAAGATTTTAACCAACTTAAAACCTTTTACCAAACCGAGAAAGATTACGAAATCGAAATGAAGGAAGTACTAGAAATGAATGAGCTTTTTTCTGAAAGCACATATCATATAGAAAATGATGAAGAAATGCTATATTTTAATAATCATGTTCTTAGCTCGTTGCAAATTAAAAAATTTCAAAAAATATTTTACCAAAGTACAATTAAAGAAAACAACAAACAAGAAATTAATGAAAAATTAACCGTTATATTAGATCAACAAGAGAAAGAAGCATTTACTAATAAACTTTGTACAATGGTCTGTTGTAAAACCAAAACATGTTTAACCAAAATCAACCATGAATCCGCATTTGAAAAATTTGATAATATTTGAAAATCAACAAAAGTTGAGCACAATATGTTTTTATTAGGGATGCTTCATGCAATGGTTCGTCCAAAAGAGACATTACGCGATAAAGAAAAACAGTACATAACTGTTAAATATACGTTTGATGGAAATGAAATTTGTGAAAAGGCTTTTCAAATTATATATTCACTATCGAATAAAAAATGGAAAACTATTCGTCAACATTATCGTATAAATGGTACTAAACCTATTAGGAATGCGCTTTCAGGAAGAAAATCTAATAACGCTTTATCATTCACGATTGTTTTGAATGTTCTTACATTTATTGTCAATTTTGCAAACTGTCATGGATTGCCATCACCAGGTAAAATTATTATTTTACTTATAATTTAATTATAGTGCCATGCCTTTTGTCTCACCTGAGGTCAAAAGTTTACAAATACTACAGATGTTTATAGCTTCGGGTCATCATATTAGAAATGTCAACTAGACTTAAGATCTTTTGATGGTTATAATTTTAATTTTGGTCTTGCAACCAAAATTTGTAAAGTATTATGACCTGAATTTGCTTTTGGAGCTCTGAATCACTAATATCAACAATTATTTTAGGACTGGGTGAAATCTGCACTGTGTAAATTAGTAAAATCCTTACATTAGGGTGAAATCTACGCTTAGTTATGTTTTTATTAGCGTATCGTCACGAAATAACGCCCCGGGGCGTTATTTCGAGACAAAAATTTTAAAATACGTTAATAATTAATTTTGCTGAAGATTTTTTTGGCAAAATTAATTATTAACTCATTTTATTTTTTGTCTCGAAATAATACCCTGGGGCATTATTTCGCGACGATATGGTATACAAAGGTGGATTTTTTATCCTTATGTGATCCAAATAGCTGATTTTACTAATTCACAATGCAAGTTTTACCCTGTAGTATTATTTTTATTAGGCCGGAATTTTCGAGAGGACACTATGGCTATTATATTTCTCCCTGCTAGCGAAAGTTATGCTGGATTATATCGCATTTATAAATCAAATTTAGATGAAAACTCTGATTACCATATTAGCCGATAGTCTTTTATGCAGATTTGGAAAAAATATGTACCAGAAATTCGTTTTTTATCTCCTAGAAGCGACCTGTGTATGCTTTGCAAAAATATGCGATTTAATACTCAATTTTGGACAGAAAGTGAGCAAGATGATAAGATTTACGAATGGAATAGTCATATTGAATAGGCGAATCAAGAAAGAGAATATTATAAGTATGAAAGTTATTATTATTATTATTATTATCAATATAACTATTTTACTAAAATTAAATTTTTAGACAATGCATATTAAGTACTAAACAACAGTTACAAAATTTTATCAGCTTACCTAAACTTTTACGTTCAGGAATACCGAATTCTTTAGAATTTGAAAACCACATTTCGTGGGACTTTGCGGAAGCCGTACACCTTCCATTTTCTTCGCAGCAAGAAGTATTTATTAACAAATACAGCTGACCTCCATAAGTGTATTCTTTATAAGCGTATCGTATCTTCATGTGGTTTTCCTTCTTAAATACACATTATATGACCTAAATTTAATATCCGTGATAATATACTACTCATAATCAGTTGTTGCTCACTTTCCTGGAGTCCATTTTTCTGAAATACCATTTCACCGAAGTTGTAATACTGACAATCCATTTTACTAACGGGACAGAAATAGGATTTCACTGAATATCAATTAACCAGCAAGTTTATTTCATTGACAGTTGATTTAACTGGTAGTCATTTCACCGACAAAAAATTCTGGCCATTGTTGTTAGAGTCAGATTTAGAATTAGAGTTAAGGTTAGTGCAATCTTTAAAAGAAACCAGTCGGTGAAATGAGCTGTTAGTAAAATAATTGTTAGTAAAATAAACTTATCAGTTATTTGATTTTCAGCAAAATGACACAGACCTATTTCGGTCCTGCTAATAAAATAGATTTTTGGTATTACGACTTTGGTAAAATGGTGTTTCAAAAAAATAGATTTCGGGAAGTTAAGTTACTTTTTTAACAAGTGCACTTATGAAAGGTTAACTTGATTACAATATTCACTATTAAAATATTTGGCTTTAAATTAATTTAATGATATATTTTTTAAGGGATCTATTTACTTCAAGTCTTTGTATAAAGTTTCGATTTTTGGAATATGCGAGGATGCTTTTCCTCAACAGGTTATAAATTTTACTAATTAAAATTTAAATACAGTAAAACCTCCCTAAGTGCATACTCTATAGGTTCCGGTTTAACTTCCCGAAATCCATTTTTTTGAAACACCATTTCACCGAAGTCGTAATACCGAAAATCTATTTTACTGGCAGAACAAAAATAGGTCTGTGTCATTTCACCGAAAATCAAATAACTGATAAGTTTATTTTACTAACAATTATTTCACTAATAGCTCATTTTACCGACTGGTTTTTTTAAAAAATTACACTAACCTTAACTCTCTAATTCTAAATGTGACTCTAATGACAATGGCCAAAATTCCTTTGTTGGTGAAATAACTACCGGTTAAATAAACTGTTAATGAAAAAACTTGTCAGTTAATTGATATTCGGTGAAATGATACAGACCTATTTCTGTCCCGTTAGTAAAATGGATTGTCAGTATTACGACTTTGGTGAAATGGTATTTCAGAAAAATGGACTTCAGGAAAGTGAGCAACAACACTCTATAAGTACATGTTCTATATAAATTCTCTCTAAATACACGGCATATCTAATTTGCTCTCTATAAATGCACGTTTTTTTAAGTGCATATTTTGCTTTTTCTTTATTATGGTCGTGAGGGAGTGCACTTAAAAAGGTTTTACCGTGTATATAAAATTTATATTAAGATTTTAATAATGACTTTATATTAGAAAAACTACTTAATTAAAGAAAATGAGGATGTTGGAAAAGGAGCGAATGCAGTTATCTCAATGGTTCATCACTATTTCGAAAATCATAGTCTGGGAGAAAAATATATTGTAATCCATGCCTACAATTGTCCTGGACAAAATAAAAACAATGCAATAATAAAATATTTAATGTGGCGCGTTTTGAATAAATTACATAAAAGAATTATATATTCTTTCATGGTATCAGGTCATACTAAATTTTCTCCCGACGGATTTTTTGGATTACTCAAACTAAAACTTCAGCACTCTGAAGTGGATAACTTGGCAGATTTGGTTCAGGTCGTTCAAGACTCTACAGTCAGAGGTTATAACATAGCACAAACGATTTATGATCAAAATGGTACTCAACAAGTTCGATTTTATAAATGGGCAGAATTTTTAGATGAATTCTTTAAGAACGTGTCACAAATTCTCAAGCAGCATCATTTTATTATTTCATCAGACAAACCTGGCATAGTAGAAATAAAATCGGCAATAAATAAGGAAAAAACAGAAATAACATTATTGAAAAAAAATAAAATTAGTTTATTTCCTTTACCCACTCTCCCGGTTCCTCTTTTAGCAAAAAATTTAACTGCAGAACGGCAATGGTACTTGTACAATCAAGTTCATAGTCATATCCGTGATCCAGCAAAAAAAGATGAATTTTGCCCATTACCATCTGTACCTTGTCCATAACAAATCAAAAATCATAAAATTTTTTATTATAAATCACACTTTTACGCTTATCCCAACTTGATACAAACAATAAAATTACATA